AAAAATCATCGAATTTGATTAGATGGTTGCTGAGAAATCGCAACAATCACGTACAATCGATTGCAATCGGGCAATCGTTACCTACAGATTTTATCAAAAATAAATCATTTTGCAAATAGCGATAATTATGTCAATCAACCGTCACACACGTGACAATTACCAAAAAAATTTGGGAGAATTATGTTAATGAATTTTATGGTTATTTGTATTAATGCTAAACTATTTAATGAAATTCAGAATATTAAGACCGATTTTTAAGACTTTAGTAGCCCACTTTAAATAAAATAGTACATTAGATATTGTATTCATGAAGCACCCTTTTCAAATACTATTCGCTACATGTAATAAGAAATATGTTGTGCCGTTTTTCTATGCTTATTCCTAACAAAAAATTTCAATCCTATAATATAGATTTTTTATAGAGTAATTATACGGGTCACTGTATCAATTCTGGAGATGTAACCATTCAAAAACTATGCCCTGCTGAACTTTAATATTCGGAAAATTTTTTAAAAATTGAATCTACTCAACGGGTGTGTAATTTCGCAAAAAAATAAGAAATTCTGCGGCCTTAAGTGCGTTAGGAAAAGAGTTGCGGCTTGGTACTGTATGGTAGCAAGCATGAAGAACCACAGCATCAAAAAAAAAACATTACAAAATATTCATCAAAAAGTTACGTCTTTAGATGATTTTCACCATATAATTGGTAAAATTTCTATTTTTTTGTTACACTAAAGTACAAACTTGCAAGCAGACATAACCGAAAAATTCTTTTGATACGGCAACATAAGTCAATTATAGAATTAATCAAAAATATAACTATTAATGCAACCTTTGTATCACTTTGATTAAGTAATAAATATTTTCTTCGCTACACTCTAGACAATTAAAGTATCTTAAAGTAGACAATATTGTAAAATAAAAATATCAATAAGTTTGGTTAGGTAGTTGTTGAGTCATCTTTGTTCAAAATAATAGCTGCGGCAAATTTTTATAAAACTTGGTGTGAAGTTAACTCGATAATCAACCAATAAAACTCGATGAACTTTTTTTATTATAGTTCTATGACACTGTAAGATCAAAAAAAAAAAAATAGTTCGTTGAATTTTGTTGGCTAGTTGCCGAAAGCAAATTTGCCATTAAATAAATGTAGATTTTGCGATTATGCTATACGAATTACGTGACTTAGGTTTTGTGTCACCAACACATATGCGTTTCGGTGAGTTTGGCGCGTTGGTATAACCAATCGCATGAGCGAATAAGAAACCAATATTTATCTCATCATAAAACGCTTATTCATCACGTAGAAGTGGTCACACCTTTGCGCCAAAGTACACAGCTCGCGTTCTCACCATCCTAAAACATCAGTGTAGTTTCCTTCTAAAACGTAACTTAGCTACTTATTTGTCTTGTCTAGACTTTAAAAAATGCACTTTATTTATTATGATAAATGCTTCGTTTGTTACTTTTTAAAGTCAATTCTACGTTTAAGAGAAACCTTTTACTTTCTTAATATAAATAAACCCGATATACACTAAGAATTATTTATTTGTATATTAAAAATTCATTTGTAAAAATAAATAATAAATTAATATAAATATTTTACTATAACATAGTTAAGTCATTTGCACTACATATTACAGAAACATGAGTAATTAAAAGCGTGTATGATTACACGTGTAAGCCTTGAATAATTTCCGTCTTTCTTAAACGATCCGAAATAGTTACTAATGTAATTATCTACCATTCAATTCTCTTTTTAAACTTTGAACGAAGATTTCTTATCCAAATTCGATGAGTTTTTTAATTTATTTTAATTCTATGAATCTATAGAATTAAAAAATAAAACTTTAAGCGAATTTGTATGTATACTTGTCGAGAAATTCATTAAAAGTTAAGAATGTAATTTGCTGTAGTTTTTATTTTATAGATACTTAAACTTTGAAAGATGATTACTCGATGCTTACTGATCAAATACGATCAAGTTTTTTTTTTATTCTATAGATTTATTTGATCAAAATAAAAAAAATGTCAGAGTTTGGATAGATGTTCGTCGAGACATCTTCGATCAAAGTCAAAATTTACCCGAATTTGGCTTTTTTTCCTGATATTCAAGATTTTTTAAAACTTCTCCGAAGATTTCTCGACAACGATTAAACCAATTCTATAACCTTTTTTATTTAATTCTCAAATAGTATAGAAATAAAAAAAATAAAAAATTACCGAATTTGATCAAGTAGTTATTAGATATTCAACAAACCGGGCACAGATTCAAAAATTGCATCTCAGTGATAAAAAAAAACTTTATGAAGGTTGCAGAAACTGGCAACTTAAATATTTACATAAAAAATATGAAAAATTTTTTATTAAAGCCAACTTCCAAAATTCTAGTCTCAATGTCAATGTTTAATAATGATGTTTTAAAAACCTAAAAAAACTGGTTAACCCTTTTTTTTTCCATCTCTAACTATAATTTATAAATTTATGCTTGCCAATGGTATATTAAATATCTTGACATTAAATAGATATACACTCGTTACTAATAAACAAGAGAATTAAAAGAAAACATTTTTTTATGCAAGTACGGCCTTCTTATAATTAATTATGACATTTATTCATCTATTAATTAATATTATTTTTATATCAGCTTATCGTATTTGTTTTTCTTGGATTGAATTTCATTTCAAGTATAACTGTCATGTAATATTTTAGCTGGCAAAAAAAAGCATTAAACTCCTGGATCACTTATTCAAAAATTTTATGACACAAATTTTATAGCACAGAAAATTTTAAACGATACTTTATTCTTTAGATATTCACGCATATTACCAGTTGCCTTAATGTGATTATAAATAAATTTGAGAGAATAAATACTACGATGGTTAAAAGTCCTATGCTTTGTTCTCTTTTAAACTAAGCTATTATTTAATAAAACTCGGGATATTAAAGCCAAATTTAAGACTTTAGTAGCATTCTTTAAGTAAAATATAGTACATTAGTGATATTATATTTATGAAGAACCAACTTTTCAAATACTCTTCGCTACTTGCAGCAGGAGTGCGTTGCGGCATTTTTATGTTATCCCTATTGTAACAAATTATTTTAGTTTATACTATTTTTTTTTAGAGATTTTACTTTATTTTATTTTATTTTATCTTATCTTTATTTTTATTGTATATAGTTTATTTTTGTCCCACCAATTCCATTTTGATAACAATACCCACGTAGTATAGTCACGATGGGAATATTTAATTAGTTATACTAAAAAGGTAATTGATAGTGGCTTGGTGGTTTATCTTCTGCAAACGCGTGAACGCTCCAAATAGCGCGTATACACGCTTACACAAAATTCATAGATCATACGCACAGAGCGTTATCGCTCAAATTGAAGCATATTCGCTTAGAAAAGAATGTATACACTTAAAGTAGAATAAAATTGCCCTAAATAGAGCGCATACGCTCTTAGAAAATTTTATGTATATAAGTCTTTGAATTTTAATAAAGTTGAATAAGTTCCACGTTCACTTTTAACGACATTGAGTAATTAAGTAAATACTTATCTCTTGTAAATTTCGACTTGTAACTTTAATAAAACCCTGTGAGACTCAATTCGACGGACTGAATTGACTTTAAATTCACATCGTTCTATTAAGACTCAAAATTCTGTATAACGACCCTTTTATGACTTTGGGACTTGGTCACGTAATTTCTGTTTGAAAGTGTTTTCGCCTAAAGAAAAGAAGTATTTTGAGACGAGAAAAGTAAACCACCCCCACCTCCTTTGGCATCACCAGCATTAGCTGATTTATTAGAAATATCCGAATTGAATGATAACTTATCTTTTGAAGTATTCCTAAATCATTTTTGGATCAGAATATCACTTGAGATATCAATTTCTGTTGATATCATCCTGGGTAACGAGTATATTCATTCTCGATCTTTAGAGTGATTACTTTTAAAGTTCAATCGTTTAAACATCATTATCAATCAATCATACTGCTTTTAATCTGCTCTAAGAAGTATTACTTCTTCTTAACATCATTTCTGAATTATTTTAATACATAGTTCTTTCATTGATGCGCTATACAACCTCTGTATTTTAGTTATTATCATTTTTAAATCATATTAAGTTTAGTTTTGTACCCAAGACTGATTAAATTTAAATTAGATTTATACTTTTTCTTTATTTATATAAACCCCAATCCCATACTCAGTTGGAGTTCAAATTGGCACTATTTGTCTATAACCGCTTAGCTCTCCCAAATACAACTGTTACATTTGGTGCCGATTGTGTGGAGTGAATAAAAATATCTTATCAAAATTAACTATAGTTAGAAATATATTTTTTAAACACCTTAAAGTTATATTGTTATAAACTTTTCTTCAAAATGTAATTATGGCTCAACGTAATCCTCCGAACCTGGTTAATCCACCTGCAGTTAATCTGCCGCAATGACCTGTTGCAGGTAATTCAGCTCCCCCACCGCAGCAGCTGATTATTCCCCCTCAACTGCCTCAGCCACCCCAACAGCCGCAGCCGCCGCAACAACCAAATCCCGGTGATAATTTAGCTGCGCAAATTGGATTGTTAATCTAACAAATGCAAGCTGCACCGGCTTCACAACCCACCCAACCAGGAATTGAGTCTGGTTTCATATTCTGACTTTTTAGGAGGAGACCAGGATCTCATGACCTGGCTGGATGAAGTTGAAAAGGCATTTGCTGCCAATTTGGTGCACAACGACTGCCGTATCCCGGTAATTGTCTCTTATTTAAAGGGTGCAGCTGCCACTTGGTGGGTCACTACTCAACGACCACCTAACCCTATCAATACGTGAAATAATCCGGCCCAACCCAATACCAGTTTCTAACCCCATTTTATCCTTCAATTCTGTACTCTGGCCTTGGAAGGCAAATGGTTTGCCCAATTAGCTACCCAAAACAACAACTTGACAAGGATATTAATGCTTTTCACACCACCATGGAAGAGTTATTACGTCAAGTAGAGACAGGGGCTCAACCATATCCCAAAACTGCAAAAGTGCAGCTCTTTCTTAATGGATTAAGGCCCGACATTATATTGGCCATTGCCCCATTCACTCCTAACACCTTACAAGCAGCCTACAAATGCGCTAAAGCATACAAAGGTGCTTGTAAACAAAATCTTCCATATTTACCGGCCCCTATTAGTGCTCTATATTCCACCCAAGTACCCACGAGCACCCAACTAGTTTTTCTTCTTCCCCTGCAACTTCGGAAGCTGCTATAGATAAATTAACAGTCTGTTAATAAAATGTTGGCTCAGCTTCAAGAACGACATATATCCACCTCAGGAAATTATAATAGGGTTGTTTGTTATAAGTGTGGTAGGGTGGAACATATAAGTAGAAATTGCCATTCCCTTACCGCTAACCCTCCCCCTAATACACCTCAAAATTATACTCTGTTAAATCAAATATATAACTCTGGGCAAAATTCGGTCCCAGGCAAATACCCTCATATTAATTCCAATTCCCAACCTACCTCCGTACCTACTGGTCCTAATTCTACCAATGTGAGTGGTGCCCTAGAATTCTAGCTCCAAGAAGCATTGCAAGCTTTGCTGGCCATGGCGGCTAGCTTAAATTCTTCTCCATCCCAAAGTAATTCAGATAGTCAAGCCCCAACCAATAACCAACCTACTTTTCTTAACCTTTTCGAAGAAGACATATCCTTTTTTACTGTAAAGTCTCAACCTACAAAACGTCTTCGGGAGGAGGATGGTGATTTAGAGTCTGGTGTTGAAGAATCATTAGAAGTATTGTTGGAAAAAGATAAAGAAAAAGATAAACATGAAAAAAAAAAGACATATAAATAAAGAAAAAATAATATCATAAACAAAGAAAAGAATACAGGTAATTCTTCTAAAATTCCTGTAACAAAACCTAAATGAGTCCCCGTGATAAGACGAAAGATTCCTGGTAAAGAAATGCCTCAGATTTCTTTTTTGGTCCCTCCATATTCAGTTATAACTGATTTAAGGATAAACCCACTAATATTACTATAGGACAACTCTTACGAGTGATTCCGGCTATGCATACCGAATTAATCTGGAGTCTTCATAAGAAAAAGATTTTCCCTAAATGAAAAGCCAGAGTTAATATCAGTATAGCCCCTAATAGCAAGTCTACGGCTTTGTACTGTGATACCACCATTCTTGTTGTAGAGGTTCCTATAATAGTTGACAGTGAGTCCTCTGGAAGTGTCGTTATCTCCCATCTGCTACATGACTTGGGTATCAAGATTGAACGCCTATATACCATTAATATGGTAAATATTCATGGCGAAAGCAAACGTGCTCTCAGCGAAATTTCCAATTCCTTTTCATTGTAGCCGGGATAGAAATTCTCATCGATGTGGTCATAACCGATACTAGTTTCTACCATGCCATCGTTGAAAACGATTGGCTTTCTAAGGTCCAGGCTAAAATTGACTGGACTACAGCTGAAATGACTTTTACCTAGGCTAATCACGAAATAATTGTTTCAGTGGAATTCAAAAGATTGCCACCTGAACTCTTAAGCAAGAATTGACCTAATAAAGTAAAAGACCTGAAGGAAGAAAAAGAAGAAGAAGTAGAAGAAGAATTAAGTGATGATGAATACGAGGATGAAGAATTGGAAGAGAGAGTTTATAATTACATTGGGTTGGAAGAAGAAAATTACCTTTCAGATTCATCGAAATCTTCAGAGTCTTTAAGCTTTTATTAAGATAATCCTCTCAAGGCTTGTGAAGATAACATAAATCGATCCCTTAATATTTTATTTAAATTACCTAGCAATTCGGCCTCATTCATTAACCCTAGTCTTAAATTAATTGAACCTTTAACTAGTAAAGCATCACGTTCTATTTCACCTATTACTATTCCTCCTGTTAATCAAAATAATAGTAACTGTTATAATACCCAAATTAATAATATAGTTTTCACAAAACTTGATAATAATACTTTACTCTCAACTCCTGTAGTATCTGAGCTCTTTGAAGAATTAAGGCATTATACGTCTCAACTTAAAACCCAATTGGGTTGCTTCTCTAATACTTTAAAAAATTTAAACTTTATTCCTAGTAATTCATCTACTTCATCTTTAGTTGTAATTCCAGAAAAAACTTTCCTTGACATTCTTCAACCCTTACCTTTAAACTATATTCATAAAGAAATACCTTTATATTTACCCAATTCAAATAATCCTCTTCCTTTAGTTTATTATGACACAATGACTTCTAGTAGCGATGCCTCACCTTTTCATAATAAAAATTCACTTAATAATATGCATGTTACTAGCCCTTCTAATAACCAACAACAATTTTTAACTAATACTAACCCTATTAAGGTTAATAAGATGGTATTCCCATTTATCGCCATTTCTAATCTGCCCATAATATTTCTTGAAGACTCAGATGAGTCTAGCAATTCGTGTTTCGAGTGGTATGCATTTGCTTAGAAAAGAAAAATTCCAAAGTATAAGTATAATGAGAACAATTCTGATGCCGATAGTGAAATCAACAAAATTCAAAGACTGACTAAGCTAAAGAAAGAAAAACTTAAGTCTCCTTTCACTAAGTGCTTATACAACTTGACTGGAAATGCTTATTTTCGGGAAGAGAAAATTAAGCTGGACCTTCGTGGTTATATCTGAGCAAGCTTAAATAAGAAAAACTTAACCCTATTAGTGATATATTCGACTACTACTTTAGGAAAGAAGTTAGCAGAAGAAATACTTTTAATATAGGTTCCCTTGATGAGAAACAAAGTAACTGGCTTAGGAATTTCTTGGAACAAAATTTAGGTTTATTTACTTGGAAAGGTCATAGATTAGAATATACCAATTTGATCAAGCATAGCATCAATACTGGAAATGCCCTACCTATTAAGCATCATCCATATTGGCATTCACCTGCTGAAAAGAAGATAATAAAGACTGAAATTGACTAAATGTTAAGAGAAGGTTTAATCCAACCTTGCCAAAGTCCATGAACATCTCCTGTGATATTGGTTCCTAAACCCAATAGACAAACTCAGTTTTGTATAGATTACCAAAAGCTCAATTCGGTGACTCAAAAAGACAACTATCCCCTACTATGCATTCAAGATCTTTTGGATGCTTTAAACGGATCATCCTGGTATAGTTCTCTTGACCTTGCCAGTGGGTACTGGCAGGTTGAAGTAGAAAATTTGGATAAACTTAAAACGGCTTTCACTACCCCTTTTGGTGTTTACATGTTCTATGTAATACCTTTTGGGTTAACGAATGCCCTGGCAACATTTCAACATCTTATGAATTATCTTTTTCAAGAACTAATCGGAGAATGCATTGTCGTATATTTAGACGATATTAATGTTTACTCGAAATCTTTTGAGGACCATCTAACCCATTTAAAAATAGTTTTTGAATGATTGAAACTTGCTGGTCTTACCTTAAAGTCCTCAAAATATTTTTTCAGTCATCGACAAATAAAATTTTTAGGTTATATAGTCAACAAAAAGAGTATAGCTGCCGACCCTCAAAAAGTAGAAGCCGTGAAGAATTTTCCCATCCCTAAAAACTTAAGGCAATTATGAGGGTTTTTAGATTTAGCCTCATATTATAGAAAATTTATTGAAAACTTTACCAAAATTGCCGCCCCTCTCAATCAATTACTAAAGAAATATAAGGCTTATGCATAGAAAGAAGAACAACAAAAGGCTTTTGAAGCCTTAAAAGAAAAGTTAATTACCACTTCTGTTTTGGTATATCCTGATTTTGATAAAACTTTTATTCTTTTTACTGATGCTTCCAACATTGCCTTAGGTGCCATATTATCCCGAAAGAATGAGAAAGGTCACAAGCAAGTTATATCCTATACAAGTTGAAGTCTTATCCAAGAAAGAAAAACTATTCCTTTACTGAAAAGGAATGTTTAGCCGTTGTATGAGCTGTAGGATACTTTCGCCCATACTTACATGGGAGTAGATTTATCCTATATACTAACCATTCAACCTTTAAATATTTATTTGAAGTTAAGTTACCTCAAGACCGTCTAGCTAGATGGATAATGACCTTACCGAATATTTCTTCACAACTATACATTGTTCCAGAAAATTTCACTTTAATGCCGATAGTCTTTCTTATATCTAATAGGTCGCCACTGATAAAACATCCTTGGTTTAAAAATATTTTTAGAAAAACAAATCTTTAGAACCCGATAAAAAAAAAAAAAAAAAAAAAATTTGTTTTAAATTTTTATACCTCTTTTAAAAATCTGTTAATCCAGTTCAGGTTTTGGTATCCTGGCATTATCAATAAATTTTTAAAACTTATATTACTCATTTTCTCTTTTAAAAGAAAAATAATTAATTAGTAAAAATTTAGACGCGAATTAGACCAAGTTAGCGGTCATGGATCCCCAATTATATTCACTTTACCTTTGGTATCTCGTGGACGCTCTAGTACCTTCCCATTTCATTTCTAAAGAAATTAAGGATTTAAAATATAAGACCTCTTAGAAGGGTTACTATATAAGATTAATTTTCGCTATCTCACGCGTCCATTACAGGTCTTAAAGAAAGATGAAATTCGGCCCATACTTTTCAGTATGCACGATGACTCTCTTTCCGAACATTTTGGCTTTTATGCCACGTACCAAAGAATAGCTACCTGATATTTTGGCCTCAAATGGGAAATGATATTAAAGATTATGTAAAAACGTGCGATGTTTGTTAAAAGAAAAAGAAGCCCCATACCTGCGAATCTTTATACCCCATTAAAGTTGGAAGTCCCTTTGATTGTATAGGTATTGATATTGTAGGCCCATTTTCCGTAACCTTTTCAAATAAAAGGTACATCGTAGTTGCTACTGAGTACTTTACTAAATGGCCCAAAGCTCGTGCCCTTGAATCTGCTAATGCTGAAAATGTTGACACCTTTATTTTCGAAGAATTTATTTGCTGTCATAGCTGCTCGAAAGAAATACTATCTGATAGAGGCACTCATTTTTGCAACAAACTTATTACTGCCATTTGTAAAAAGATGAATATAACTCATCATACCTCCATGGCATATCATCCCCAAACTAATGGTTTGGTTGAGTGTTTTAATAAGACTCTATGTGGAGTCCTAAATAAATATGTAAATCAATTGATAAGGAATGAGACAAATATATTACCCCTGCGCTTTTTGCTTACCAAACTACTCCACATCATACTACCAGATATACACTATTTTTCTTGTTATTCGGTCAATCTGCTATCCTTTCAGTAGAAATTAACTTAATAACCTACCAAACCCGACCTGGAATGGAAGAAGAATTACAAAATCAGATATTAAGATGGGTAGAAGATTTGATAGGTGAATTAGTAGAAGCCCACCGTATAGCAGCTAAAAAAATTAAAAAGTCACAAGTTAAACAAAAACAATATTACGAAAAAAGAAATAGAATAGAATCATATGAGATCGGTGATCAAGTCCTTTTAGATAGGTCTGATCTAGCCATGTCACACAGCTCTAAATTGGAACCCTGAAATATAGGCCCCTATTACATACATGATATACTACCCTCTGGGTTGTATAAATTAAGGACAATGACTGGTCACATGTTCAAGACCAAGGTTCATGGAAACTGGTTGTCTCGCTACTATCTGTGACAAGAATTTTGGTGACCCTCTTGAACTATTGTCGCAAAAAATAAAAACCCAGCTAAAAACTTTGTTCTCTCTTTCTCTATTAGTTTTACATTTTCTTTTATTTTTTATTTATTTATTTTTTTTATTTATTATTTTTTTTTTTGGTTTTCGATGGAAATACCTGCTTCCATTAAAAAGACTCTAACTACTTTAAAGGCACAAATGTCAAAAGCTGGTATCGAAGGCACTTACTTTGTTTCTGCCAATACTATTATTTATTTAGCAGACCAACAATCTCAAATTATCAATTCGGATCCTCCTAAACGAAAAACTGACACTCAATTGTTGCATACTAAATTACCTGCTTTTTTAGAAGACCTTCGAAGAAATAAGGCATCTATCTATCTGATCGAAACACCCTTGGATGTAAAATGGGAAGATAAAATAGCCTATATGTGTTCACAACTTTCCTCCAGTAATTTTTATCACTCTAGTCAATTACCTCGTTACTATGTGCTTGGATCCTTATTAGAAAAAAAGGCATGGAAGGACGAAGCTAAAGCCTTAATAAAACAATTACTACCCCAAAGATATGGCGATGTTTTAATATTCACACATAGAACTTATCTTTTATATCAAGCTCGTGGTTCTTCACATCTCTTCTCATCTCAATCGATTACCCGGTATGTGCTTAGGCGTTTATGGAAAGAAGACTTTGCCATTTTGCAAAGCGAAGCTAAACCGTTGGCTCAACAGGAGCTCAACGAAGTATTAGAATTGGTCCCTTTTGCAGGGGCTCAAGACTAAGGAGAGGCATATGTAACAAATTATTTTAGTTTATATTATTTTTTTTAGATATTTTACTTTATTTTATTTTATTTTATCTTATCTTTATTTTTATTTTAGTTTATTGTATATAGTTTATTTTTGTCCTACCAATTCTATTTTGATAACAATACCCACGTAGTATAGTCACAATGGGAATATTTAATTAGTTATACTAAAAGGTAATTGATAGTGGCTTGGTGGTTTATCTTCTTTAAACACGTAAACGCTCTAAATAGTGCATTTACACAAAATTCGTAGATCATACACACAGAGTGTTATCGCTCAAATTGAAGCGTATTCGCTTAAAAAAGAATGTATATGCTTAAAGTAGAATAAAATTGCCCTAAATAGAGCACATACGCTCTTAGAAAATTTTATGTATATAAGTCTTTGAATTTTAATAAAGTTGAATAAGTTCCATGTTCACTTTTAACGACATTGAGTAATTAAGTAAATACTTATCTCTTGTAAATTTCAACTTGTAACTTTAATAAAACCCTGTGAGACTCAATTCGACGGACTGAATTGACTTTAAATTCATATCGTTCTATTAAGACTCAAAATTCTGTGTAATGACCCTTTAACGACTTTGGGACTTGGTCACGTGATTTCCGTTTGAGAGTGTTTTCGCCTAAAGAAAAGAAGTATTTTGAGATGAGAAAAGTAAACCGCCCCAACCTCCTTTGGCATCACCAGCATCAGCTGATTTGTTAGAAATATCTGAATTGGATGATAACTTATCTTTTGAAGTATTCCTAAATCATTTTTGGATCAGAATATCGCTTGAGATATCAATTTCTGTTGATATCATCCCTGGGCAACGAGTATATTCATTCTCGATCTTTAGAGTGATTACTTTTAAAGTTCAATCGTTTAAACATCATTATCAATCAATTATACTGCTTTTAACCTGCTCTAAGAAGTATTACTTCTTCTTGACATCATTTCCGAATTATTTTAATACATAGTTCTTTCATTGATGCGCTGTACAACCTCTGTATTTTAGTTATTATCATTCTTAAATCATATTAAGTTTACTTTCGTACCCAAGACCAATTAAATTTAAGTTAGATTTATACCTTTTTTTATTTATATAAACCCCAATCCCATACTCAGTTGGAGTTCAAATTGGCACTATTTGTCTATAACCGCTTAGCTCTCCCAAATTCAACCGTTACACTATCAATAAGTTTATTATCTATTATATAGATTTTTTTTACTATGCAATCTCCAAAACTATGAGTTCGTGCTGACATAACTTATCAGTTACTTGGCGCTAATTAATGCAAATCATCTAGTCGAATCAAATTAAGCAATCTAAAGGTTACTGTATCAATTCTGGAGAACTTAATCAATCAATAAGTATTTACCGATCATTAGTCTTCGAAATTTTATTTTTTTAAAAAAAAATTGTATGTATCTACTAGATGGGAGTGTGTAATTTCACAAAAAAAATAAAAATAAAAAAAGACATTACTTAATATACTTATTCAGACTACAAGGTAATATATTTGCTTTTTGCGAACATAAAGAATTTATCAAGGAATTTTATTTTTAGAATTAATCATAGCTGCCATACAAAATCACGGCAGATTCTCGGCTAACAGCTAATTTTGGCCCTCATTATAAGATTGTTGCTAATTTCTGGCCAGAATTAGCTTTTTGAATTTTTTAAAAATAAGTCCACACTTAGGGTACCTGACAATTTACTTTATTGTAATTTACGTAAAGTCAGGTAAATTGTAGTGTAAGTTACAGCAACTTACATGTAACTTAACAACCCTACCCACACTATGGTAAAATCGACTCGAGAATAATTTTCGCTTTCATAAATTCTGGGACACCCTAAAAAAATTTGCCGAAGTCTATTCGGCCGAATTTGATAAGTTATTAATTTCGGTGATCAGTATATAAAAAAATTATTGAGTTACTATTACAGCAACATCAACTCTTTCAACACTTTATTAAAAAAAATTTTTTTTTGCCTTATCCAATATGTATGATACAAAAATTTATGCCAAAAACTGTTCTTGCCAATTAATAGATCTTAAAGTTTTGAACATAAGTTGGACTTTCTTAATAAACATATAAACTTCAAGTTCAGTTTGTGAATCCTTTTATTATATAATTATCTTTGGTAACTTATAGTATAGCAAACTTGTTTATTGTAATATATTGTATCTATACAAAAATAAAAAATAAAATTGAAATTTTGCTTTTGTAATATGTAACACACGAGTAGGCACTAATAAAAAAAAAGTTTAAATACAATCAAGAGTTGTAAAAAAATACAACTCAAGTTGATATCAGAGGTCAAAATTTTAGTAATATTTGTTGACAATGTCTTAATAATTATAATAAAGTTCAAAGTATATATAATGTTTATTTAAAGTAATGGTAATTCATCAACACAGTCATACCTTTGAAATTGTTTGAGAACTCGACCCACAGAAGACCTGTTAATACCCAAACGTTTAGCAATTACTCTAACTTAAGCCTTCTAAGTTCTTTTAACTATTTTCTAACGAATATATTTGAAAAATCTTAGTAACAAATACATATGTATTATGCATTTATATAGCACCAAGATAAATAGCTTATCGAATTCGGCTGAAAAGACTTTGGCAAATTTTTTTAGGATGTCGCAGAATTTATGAAAACAGCTATAATAGGCGGTTGCGATTTCATTTAATTGTCAATCTTGGCTCGAGCCGATATATGAGCCGAAGAGCCAAGCCAAGCAACTATCAGCTTAGCTACAGATCTACTAATAAAGCATTGCTTCAAATTGGCTTGGCTTAAAACCTTGGAGCCGAATGTGGAGATGCAAGCCGATACATATTACGTAGCCAATAGTAAATTACGAGCTTATTAGGCCATTAGAAGTTAATTTTTTGGTTAACATCACCCCTCCCCCCTCCCCTTTGGCGTCCCCCGGTAAAATGAACATATAAAAAAGTAAAAATTAAAAAATCCGTATAACCACGAAATAATGCGATAGGGTGTGGTTTCAAATTTCGGCCTAAATTAAGCTTAATTCAGGCCGAAATTCAAAAGAACTCCCTATGCGCTATTTCACAGTTATACGATAAATATAAAATAAAAAATAATTAAAATAAAATAAATTAATTTAATTTAATTTAATTTAATTTAATTTAATTTAAAACAAAATAAAACAAAATAATTTAAAATAAATTAAATTAATCCGAATTTATAAATAAAAAAAAATTAAAAAATTTTTTTTAAAAATAAAACGAGAAACAATTCAGTTTCCACTTGCTGTCTTCTCATATATGTTTATTTCAGTTTGTGATGAAACGATTCAAGAAAAACTGCCAAAAAAAGAGCTTCGAAGTGTTTTTTTATTCGATTGTGAAGAAAGAACTAGTATTAATAAGTAAGAAGAAATAAGAAATATTTAAGTAAACATTTAACTTATGCAAAAATAACAATTACAGGATCTCTTGCAGTATAGGTTATACCTTCATTTTTTCCGGTGGATGTGAGAATAAAGGCATCGTGACTTAAGTCACGATGCCTATATTCTCCACATTCACCGGAAAAAAATGAAGGTATAACCTATACTGCAAGAGATCCAATACGATCATTTATATGATATTGCGTAATTGCCGGAATTAAAATACATATATATATAATAAAATTGAATTGTACAATTGGTTCAAGGCAGCAAACTCATACACGGAGATCCAGGTCGATGTGCATCGGAATCTTGGTCATCCGGGCCAGAATTTTGCCTAAAAGAAGTCATAGCGATAGTCATTCATTAAGTAAAAAATATCCAGCTAATCTAGCTCTAACACATTCCAACCCGGAAATTTGAGGTCCTCCTCCTGTAAAAAAATCAAGAAATAAAGGTAGTATAAAGTTCATAAAAACAACAATCCCGGGACGCCCGTCAATGAATCATATATCATTTTACTCTTAAACTGATTGCCAAAGGTAGTGCCAGGTGGTTTTTAAATTGATTGTACTAAGAAATTTGTAAATTAAAAATCATGCGACGCATATAAATTACTATATATCTGGCTTTAGACGATCCCCAAAGGTATATAGTAAGATATACAGAGGTATATATTTTAAAATTTCGAAGCCACGCATTGCAACAAGTTTTCAGTACGCATGAATATTCTGAGCCGTTGGGTATTAGCAGAAATGAAGTTTCAGCTTGTACACGTACGGATCAGGGTATTTTTTACAAATACCCCGTGATCTTGATATAGTGATCAGGATATTTTAATAAGTATAACTAGCTAATGTTTAAAAGCTACAGGTAAATAACCAGAAAAGGCACATACAACGATCAATTTAAACATGGAACATGCTATCTAACAACTTTGCGCACAGCCAGTTGCCCGTAAATATACACTACGTTCCTGGTATTGAAAATAGTAATAACTCTAGCAAAAGTACATACGTATATAAAAACAACGAAAGATTCTTTGTATATCCAAAAACATTTACTTACATTTTACATTACTTTATCTGATACTCATAATATAATTTTCATTATGCAATATGTTAAGTGTGCATTATTCATTCTCTTGATTCATATCCTCTTTAGTTTAGTGTTTATCTCAATGACTTTAAACAAGTCTTATCCTACTAAGAATTTAGAGAATACGGAGAATGAGACGAACAAAACAAATGTAACATTGGAACATTATACTGTGAAGAAATACGAGGAGCTGAAATATTTACAATTCGATATAGTATATAATGAATATGTTAAGAAACATAATAGAATAGTTACTGAAATGTTAAATTTATCTGCTAAATATAATTTATCAGAACTTCCAAAAGTTATTGTTACTCAACCAGACATGGGGACGGGATACGGAAATCGTATATCTGCAATAGTTTGTGGTTTTCTATATTCATTAATTACTGATAGGCTATTTTTTATTGATGGATATAATAATTTCGAAGATTATTATGAGAAAGATTTCGATCATGATTGGAAAATTGTTACAAACTTGTACGAAAATAAAAATAGTACTTCTAGATATATACATGATTATAATATATATAATGACTTTCAATTGGTGACGAGAGGAAATATTAGTAATGAAGAAATAACTTCACACAAAATTTTATATGTCCGCACATGGGATTATGTATGCGCTCCAATAACGTCAAATCCTCATTATAAAAAGTGGTTTGATAAAATGATACCCGATTATAGAGTTTTTACAGCAATCAGTCTAAAATTATTAAGATTACACCCAAATATTAGCAAACAAGTAGAGACTTTTGCAAATAATAATTTTAACGATTATATAATAGGTATTCATTTAAGAGAGAAAAAGTCACCATATAATATGATAATACCTGTAGAGCATTATAGTCAAGCAGTGAAAATGTTATTGTTAGGAATGAAAAACACGAATATAACTATCTTTGTGGCTGCTGATAGTAATAATGGTCGCAACAAATTAGTAAATTCACTTCGTGAAGTATTTAATTCTCATAGTAATAATTCTATTAATATAGTTCATACTGAAGAAGATATGGATTCACCAAATCCTGTTAGTTTTAGGAACACTGGTTCAGAAGTAGGCGCTCTTATCGATATGAAATTACTTAGTTTATGTGACGACTTGTTGATTACATATGGTTCATCATTCGGTTTTACTGCTGCAGGATGGTCGCGAAAAGCATCGCGTCAAAGAGGCCCATTTGTAGTAATGCCAATAAAAAACTCAAAAAATGATTTATTGGTTATAGATAAAGTTTGGGTATGGGGTGCTATGTCAAATGAGCCGTGTATGTACTTGAGCAAATGGCTGATTTACTATGAAGATGAAGAAACCGTTAGAGTTTTTAAAACGAATCCGTTATGGCTACATTATAGTCAATGCCATTGGCCACAAGATATTAATATTAAAGTTTGATCAGTTTTTAGCACAAGGATACTGAGGCTATCATTGAATGACAAGTCGCAGGACGCTATATACTGTATGGTATATTAAAATTTAGCAATATACTAGGTACTTCGATTTTGCCTGTAGTATAACGAAAAATATAAGTAAATACATTAAATTAGAGGTTCAGATTTGGTAGTTAGGGCAAGTGGCAATGACTAAAGAAAGAAAGAAAGGACAGTTGTTTATAGGCAAAAATGCTTTCCCTATACTTTTAATTAATACCTCGAAAGTTGATTTAGACACTCGTTTCTACCGTATTGGCGCGTAATAACGCGCATGCGCAGTAATTCGAATCATTTTGACAAATTTGGGTTACAAGAGGAAGCCCTACTTTTATTAATGGATTTAGCCTGAAAAATTCGATCAAAATATGAAATATGTTATATTTAAGGGGACGCGTTATTTTGAGCCAAAAATAGAGTTCCGAACCGGTTGTAGTATACCGGGTGACCGGGTCAAATCGGTTAGATATGTTGTGCGTGTTAATTCTTGTGAATATATCGTTTTGAAATCATATAAGTTTTACCGATTAATTAAAAATATATTTTGAAACCCTGCGCGTTATTTCGGGACGCGCATGCGCAGTAATTCGAATCATGACAAATTTGGGTTACAGGAGGAAGTCCTACTTTTATTAATGAACTTAGTCTGAAAAATTCGATCAAATATGTAATATGGTATATTTAAGGGGGCGCGTTATTTTGGGACGGCATGGGCGTTATTTTGAGTCAAAAAAACAAATTTTAAAAAAATGAGAGTTTCGAAATAACGTCCATGTGCGTTATTACGCGCAAATACGGTAAACGATATTTATTGTCGCAGATCATAATGAAATCGGATTAAAATGAAACTGGGGACCTTTCTTGCTCATCTTTAAAGCTTATAA